GCTACTTAAATGAAGCAGGAAATAACTACAATTGTGTTCACCAAGCAAAACTTTTTTAATAATTAATAAAAAGGGTTTGACGTGTTCAATAATGGTTACGTGATAATGGCTTTCTAAAAACATGACCAGAGGGTGAACCATACCCCTAGCATTAGAGTTCACTTTAGTTTTGTCTTAAATCAAACTTTGCTAACATTTTAGAAAAATATATTAATATCCATAAGTTGAGATAAGTGCACATGGAGAATTTAGTAAAATTAATTTGATGTTATAGATATTGCAAAATTAGAGAAGTTTGACTTAGGACAAAGCAAAGTGAAATATAGTTTGAAATGGATGGAGTATATCTCACGTCCCAAGATTGTCTTAGCTCAACCGCCTTACCCATAGGAACAAATGTGCATCATAGCAGTAATCATACATCCTTAAGCCCTAAGCAGTGAGTCCTAAAGATGAGATATGCTGCAATCTACTACTCTTCAACGTTCTATATATCGTGTGTAATGTGTACACACAACTGGCAGATGCGCTGTTGCAATCACAAAAGGGCAGAGGCTGTTGTATTGTCTCTGTCGAGCCCTGCACCTTGTAGCCTGCGGTGAACACCTGCCTCTCGCTTGATCTGAGGCTTGTAGCGCAATCTGAATTTGCATCTCCCAGTTGGTCAAGGGTGTCTGCGGATCGATTGTTTTGCTTGGAGCCTCCAGAATTGACCAGTTGATCAAGAGGGACACATATGGGATCCAACTATGTTGAAAGGGTTAATATAATGTCAGCATGACACGACATGAGAAATAGCGTGACATCATGACTGAATACTAATAATATATGATCAATTAAATTTCACAAGCACAAGAAAAGCGACAGCAAAGAAGTGATTTAAAACCTCTGTAGTTTTTCATCTATTTACTAGTAGTTTTTTTTACCCAAGTCATTAATTTTATACCCTAACATGAATTGCATATCCAAAAGAAATTCGTTGTGGTTGGCATTTTACTAAATTACAGGCTTCAGATGGCACCTTATGAATTTTCATTCTCAAATATGGTTAGTTGCGTTGGTTACTGAAGGGTTGATAAATCAGTCCAAGTTGACTATCAACAAATACAATAGCAGTGCGCCAACAAGCAGCAAGGTTCAATGTCGCGAGACCCAAGATTTCTCTTGGTTTTCCCTAAGGCCTACTTTGGCAGCATGATTCCACGCGGGGATCCCTGTGTTTTTCACGGGCCAGAAAACCACGGGGCAGCCTCCCCGGGCCATTTTACGGTGCTCTTTGGTAGCACAACGGGCGTGGATTTGAGGCCCGCTTCCACCCGATTTCCACGGGGTAAGGAGCCCGGGCTGATGACACCAGGCGTCGATCCCCGTCTCGCATCCCTCGCTTGGGCGCTGCTTCCCCGTTCCTCTCGAGGCGAGGCTCGCGAGTCGCCGCCACCTCAACCTGGCATGCGCCGTCGTCGCCACCTCGATTTCCATCCTAGCCTTGGTCGCCTCCTCCGTCCTAGCCTCGGTCGCGTCCTCTGTCCTCGCCTCCGTCGCGTCCTCCGTCCTCGCCTCCGTCGCCTCGACGCATCCACCGCCAGTTGCCTCGATTGCCCCCACCGTCGATCGTCCGCCTGCCCTGACTAGACCCAAGAAGGTACTCATTCCCCTCCTAGCTCTCGCCAGATACTACTACACTCGATTTCTTGATCGATCTGAAAGGAACTAGTGCTTACTGCAAGATCTAGGTGTTCTCGGCCTTCCCCACATGAACTTTGTGTCTAACTTGATCTAGGAGCTGTACGGGCTTTGCACTGTTTGACAAATTGCAGTAGAAAATCACAAGCACTAGTGTAATCACTATGATGCATGGATTGAACTATAATAAATTGAAGTATTTTCTTTTGGAACAAAACTAGACCTACTCATCTGTGTGTGTGTTAGCAGTTTCTATTATCAGTGCCATCTGACTATTAATTAAGTGGAAAACTATATTTTTTAAGCATTATAGCCTTGGTGTTTGTTTCTATATAGTTAATCCATGGTGATTTCATTACTGTCCTGTTTCTTACGCTAACTACTAAATTACTATAGGTTAGGTATGTCTCTTCCCTATGTTAATCAGCACTAGATTAGTTTGCTACTCCAGTACTCATCGGTGATTATTTTGGCTGATGTATGTGAGCATGCAGCTAGTTATGTATTTGGATGAAGACAAGTAGCATTGAGCATGCAACTAGTTATGTATTTCATTTATCTTAGCATTGAGCATGTAGCTAGTTATGTATTTGGATGAAGACAAGTAGCTTTGACCATGCATCCAGTTTTTTATCTGGTAGCCGCTCATCAAAGCAGTGGTATTCGATCTTGTTGGCATGAGTTATTTACATGATTACTTGTCCTTTTGGTGGCTGCAGTAGCTGTTTTTACTCAATCTTCTTGTCATGTACCTAGTTATTTACATTTTTGTTTTGTTTTGTTACTTGCAGGGTGCTTGTTGGTATCAGTGCAATCTGATGGTTTGGGTTCATTCGTGCTATTCAGAAACAAGGTATGTTACAACTTTTACTAAGTACATTTGCTAAGTATGATAGCTGCAATGGTTGGGGTCTATTATACTGTAGTAAGGTGTTGAGATGTTAGTAGTAAGGTGTTGTTGAGATGTTTCACTTCCTCCATGTATTACACTGGAAGAAAGCTGACAGGTGTAGCCTGTAACTGACTTCCCACTCCATTCCATGTTTGTGTATGATAAAAGAAAAGAAAAGCCTCCACTAGTTGGTCTGAACTGAACTACTTCTACATGTGTTAGCTTGCTGCAGCTTCATTCTTTAAACTTCTACTTTCTTATATGATACATTCATGTACAAACTTGTTGGGGAAAAGCCAAATTTGTCACAAGAGTTCACCATTTTCGTTTTATGTTATTTGCAGAGGTTTTGGTGGAAGAAATGCATGACTTGAGACAAGTGAAGTGTGGTCAAGTTTTGTAATGATTGTTGAACATTTCTGGCTTCTATGTTATATGTAGCTATGCAAAGACTTGATTTCAGTTGGATACCTATGTTTTTTTATGTAAAAAAAACTTATTCCTGAGATTTTTTATTTATTTATATGATACGAGCATCGATATGTAGTGACCTTGTTATATCATTTTCTTTTCTGAATTTTCTTGATTTTTTCGTATTTTTTTAAAGATGTTTCTATACTATATCAGTCAAGATTTTCCTATAATCCTAGAGGAAAATATGTAATACATGTTTTATCTGACAACTTTATTTATGTAATACATCACATAATCTATTTCTCTGCAACTCCGTGCTTCCAAACGGCCACAGGGAAATAACCCCGCATGTGAAATCTCCCCTCCGGGAAGAGAGGGGATTAGCATGTCCAGAAAAATCCCTCCCCCTCAGTTTGCTTCCCTGGAATAGTCCCCCCGAGCTGTCAAAGTAGCCCTAACATACTAACATAGTAACATGAACTTGAACAAATCAATCTACAACCATCTTATTCTTCGAATCAGAGTATCAGGCATAGAGATCACCAGAAGACGACTAAACAGAAAAAAAAAGCCTTTGTGGATGTCAACAAAGATACTGTATGATAGATTCTCACATGAAGCAAAAAAAAAAAATGACAAGGAAAAGATGACACATTCATTTTTAGGAAGAGCCGTAGCAGCCATTTGTTTCTCTCAAAACCGTGTGTTCTTTTAAGATTATAATTGATTGACCTAACTACTAGGTATTATCAACAAAAAATGGTTGTAGTATTGTTTCATGGTCACTGTGGACCCAGGAAAGCGATGCTCTGGCTCATTTTTTAGACCCCTTCTCAAGGCCGTTTCAAGCCGGCTTTTACTGTAGAGAAAATAATTTGCCTGAGAATCAGATGCATCCGAACAGTTTTCTGGAGAAAGAATCTATCTTAAGAAGCAAGCTGAAACAACACAGTATCAAATCCTAAAGGTACTGTTCAAATTGAAATGTGAAATGACACGGTATCAAATCTCAAGGCATATAAATACAGTTGAAGCAATATGGTATCAAATTCTCCCACCAATAGTGTTTCACTAAGGAGCCTACATTTGATGGCGTCATGCAATTTAGTCTTCATCTTTTTCAAATGAAATAGGACAGGATCACTCCCTATAAATTATCCCTGGGTGTTCAGTTCACAGATCCAAACAAGAAATTGCGAAGTAGTACATCGTAGCACATCTGGCGAGTTCAAGTCGATTATAACAACTTACCATCCACATATCCAACAAATCCATCAACATCAGGCTGAACAGCAGTAAAAAAAACAACAGACAGTTGAAGAAGACAAAGTGTGCCTGAAAGAGCAGGGAGGATACATTAGTGTACAAAATACTTATGGGTGGTTCGATGATTTGTTCCAGTAGTTAATGTTTAAAGAACAAAGATGATGTTGTTTCTAACTCCTAATTTGGCTCATCTGAAGTCGTCAAAGTAGAGGAGTGTTCCAGTAATCTACTTTATATTTTACATTATTAAACTATGCATATAGAGTTGCCACGTTTGACATTTGTCTATCTATCCTCCGCTTTATTGCAAATGCACAGATTAATAGAAAGGGTGAAAACTAATGGATCTCCACTAACCCAAACCCAACAGCACACCAATACAAGTCCATCTGTACATGTACAATCATACTTGACACATTGATGTTGGAACCTGAATTTCTGATCCAGACCCAAAACAAATTATGGGATATAATATTTTTTTTGTGCTCTTGGCTCCTTCCGTGCCTATGCCTTCGCCAGCGATGGTCAGTCATTAATATTTCAATTATGGGATATAATATTTTGTGTGCTTTTGGCTTCTTCCATGCCTATGCCACCGGCCGGCAATAATCATAACACTTCATTGGTAATAACGGCTGCTTATAGGTTGCCCATGAGACAAACTTTCTTTTGATTATTAGAACAACCACAAGGTGCGTGAGAAGCATTCTCGTGTTCTTCTCATACGCCCTGTAAGCTGAAGGGAATGCATAGAGGTTTGTTTCTTTTACCTCTCTCGCCCATGCCTTTCTACTTGATCTTCAAGCTTTGAGCTCCGCAAAATTTATCAGCAGGATATGAAGCGTTGCTAGGATGCCTCATTGCTGGGGTGATAATTGGGGCCATTGCTATTTTCTGCCATGTCAGGAGAAGAGCCAGCAAGTTTCAACCATCAAGAAACGATATCGGTAATTTCACTAATTAATTAATTGCACATCCATATGCATATAGAAGTTACTGAGATGAGTTTTTTTACCCACTAATAGCAATATGAACTTACGAAGTCGCACATGTTATTTTTTTCTTGCAGAGATCGCGGTGGCATCCCTTGAGTATGAGGAGACTACCTGCAAGCCGATGTCGATCAAAGAAATATACACAGCAACTGAAAGCTTGAGTCCATCAAACATCATTGGACAGGGCATTGCAGGTACGTGTCCATAATAGCTGATTCACGGTTATGGTATCTGTACCATAAAGCAAGTGGAAAGTATATTTTTTATCCAAGAACATGAGACTTAGAAACCATACTGTTAAAGTATGTTGTTCTTTATGGTGTGCAACTTGTTCCTCTTGTGGTTCCAGGGAAGGTCTACAGAGGAGTGCTTGCAAATGGCTGGCCTGTTGCAGTGAAGCACATCGTTAAGAATGAGCATGCAGAAACCTTCCTAAGGGAAGTTAAAAGCCTCTCACATGTCAGGCACCCGAATCTTGTGTCATTAAGAGGTTACTGTGACGGACAGGAGGAGTGTTTTCTTGTGTATGAGCTGTGCATCAACGGTAACCTATCAGAATGGCTATTTGGTGAGTAACAGGATAGCCTAAACATTTAAAGTGATGACTAGAACTCTAGAAATCTATACATTATTGCGTAATTGAAGAAAAGAATAATTTGATTCTAGGAAAAGATAAGAACCTTTCATGGATTCAGAGGCTTCAGATAGCACTTGGAAGTGCTTGTGGCCTTTGGTTCCTGCACATATATCCTGAAGGCTGCATCGTTCACCGTGACATCAAGGTTTGTTGCATGATCTGAAAGGCTTCAGTGCATCTATAGATTCATATTTAGTCAAACTCATACTTGCTATGACAGCCAACCAATATACTTCTTGGGGTTGATATGGAACCCAAGCTGTCGGATTTTGGACTCTCAAGGGTCATGGACTTAGGTGTGTCGCATGTAAGCTCTGAAGTCAGAGGAACGTTTGGCTATGTTGATCCAGAATACCGCCACAACCACAGGGTGAATGCTGCAGGGGATGTGTACAGCTTCGGCATGGTGCTCCTGCAACTCCTGTCAGGAAAACGAGCAATCAACATCATGAATACTGCTATGCCAATGTCACTGGACAAAATGGTAAGATCATAAGCAGTTAAAGTAAGATATTACATTCTGAGATGAATAATTGATTGAGCCGAATATGTGTACCTGTCGTTCCCAGGCTTCTACACTTATCCAAGATGGCAATGTATCGGAGTTTGCTGATCCTAGGTTGAATGGAGAGTATTCAACGGAGGCATTTGATCTCAGTTTGAAGCTTGCTCTGTTATGCACTGGCCACAAGAAGCAACGGCCATCCATGGAGCAAGTTGTATCAAGGCTTGAGAAGGCTCTTGAGATCTCCATGAGAGATGATGCAAAGCGCAACAACATTAGCATTGTCGAATCCCTTGCATAGCTAATATGTGTAATCCTTAAACCCCTTGATGTTTACACGACCATGCTTAAACATTTTTGTGCACTAAGTGAACAAAAACCAATTGAGACATTGAGTGGTGAGAAATTTACGTTAGAAAACTTTTAAGACAAACCAATAGAATTACTTCACGCCTATAACCAGAGATAGTTAAAGACCAAATCTAGGGACAGTCAGCCTGAATGGCTGTCGTTTATGCTGCTGGGCTGGCTGCTGTGGCTGTGCGCTGCCCTTGGGCTCGCTGCCGTAGCGCCTTGGCACCTGTCCAGCAGCAGCTGCAGCTGCAGCTGCAGCGCTGTGTAGCACCGCCGATCAGGGCCAGTACTACAATCCAGACTTCTATTATAACACACGCTTGGATATTTCAGCACCTTTTCTATCACAGTATACAGAGAAGTATAACTAGAGCAGAGGAAAACCAATAAAAAGAGTCAAGCATGATACCTCTTAGAAAGAAAATGATCCAGATAATGATAACGAGTTTAATGCAGCACTTGAATTCACTACGATGATCCAAGTGAATATGCTCTCTTTCAACTTACTACAAAAGGAAACACCAGTAAGTGCACAACGCGCGATAATTAGCTTGGCAGACATCATCACGTTACAGCATATACCAACTAGTACCAAATGAAAAATATGGTCATGCGTGCCTTGAATACCAATCATATGATCCACCTCCATGCGACCAATGAAAAAGATGAAATTCTTTCTCAACAGAAATCAATGTCATCCGTATAACTTTATTCCATAACAATATATGTTTCCAGAAATACAGGGCTATACATAGGTGCACTAGCAATCATCCAGGTAGTAATTAAATCTAATTACAACATAATGCTGAAACCAGACTGTTAGTAAACAGATATTCTGCGCAGATTGGAAGAAAAATGCACAATAGCAACACAAATTATTGAAGTGGCAGTTCATTCAGTGCATCTGTATAATCCTTTTGATCCATCGAAAGGACGCACAAGCCATGTGGGAGAAAAAGATAAATGGCAAGAAATATTATCACTCCGAGATCAGCTTCTTCGCCTATAGCAGGTTGAGGGGGTTGCCGCAAGTATATCTGACTGGCACACCACATACAATACAGGGTGGCTATCATCAGGATGAGAAAGAAAGACTGGTTTGATTTTTCTGCTGCAGACCTTCCATGCTTCACTCTGCCAAAACAAGGAACTCGTGTTTACAGAACTGCAATAAGGATTTGTAATGTTTTTCAGAAGGGAAAAGGTTTTGTAACGGATGGAGTGATGGAAACATTGAAAACTCAAGTGAGCATATGTAAGATAGGTCTATATTTCTTTTTCTAGAATGCATAGGAGAACAGACTATCTTTGCATAAAAAGAAAGAAAGACAGGTTTGATACAACACTAGGCTGCTGTCTTGCAGTCTGCTGGCCAGAACACTTGAAACTATTATACAAAAATAGAACAGAAACAACCTAAAACAGACAAGTTATACAACAGGCACACTAAATAAAGAAACAGAATTTCGAATGATCTGGTGCCAACACTTTACACTTCTGGGGTGATAAGGATTGCCTATTTCCATCCATTACAAATGTGGGGAAAAAAAGTGATACAACTGAACATACCCAGGCCTAATGGACCAAACAGCATAATCAACTCCATACCAAACAGCCAAACAGGGTAATGAAAACCACAGACACCAAAAGTAGATGTTCTAAATTCTAGAGTTGTACATAAAAAATTTTTCCTTTTCTATTTTAACATACTGAGGAAAACCATAACTTCTATAGAGAATCAATTAGAATTACTTGTTCTGTATACAAGGAACCGAGAATTTAAATTGTGTTTGTAGTGGCATAGCGGTGAGGTGCCAAAATGTGCTGCACTACTTGCAACTTGCAAGTAACCTAATCTAGTTTCTGTGTAACATTTTTTTAGTTTGTACTAGGGATAGTGCATGCAAAAAAGCTGTCACCTGTTGATGTACACAAATCCCCCCATGAGACAAGTGCAAAGAAGTCCTACGACGAGCACTGCATCTGGATTGATAGGAGCACGACCTTTCCACCAACCAGTGCTCACTATCCAAGTGTACATTGTAGAATGTCCATTCTCCTGCAGCAGTATAACATGAACTCAGTTGGGGAAAATAAGACATTCAATTCCAAAGTATCAAAGGGAAATGTTCATTTGTGATCTGAACAAATGTTACTTCACATGCAGAAACATCATGCCAGTTGGATTAGGTGGATATCTCTAGAACAACTTTTTTCCAAGCTGTTAAGCACACACTGTTAAAGTTGGGACATCAATTCTAGATATGCCTCCCCCATTCACGAGACATCCGTTGCCGGCTTTCAGTTGACAAAATTCCAAACTACTGTATGCTCACCTCAAACAAGTGATCCAAGAAAAAGTGAGAGAGCGAGCCGGCAGAGATCAGCAAGAAACACTGCCTCTTTCTTAATGGTACCTGCAACGACACCAAGATTAAACAAAATCAGGCACGCAACACTAGATTGATACAGAGGCTTCTGGACTCTGAAGCTACTAAACACTATTCTGCAACAGAGGATTAAGATAATGCGGCATTTGTTAATCTAGAATGGCATTGACACCAAGTGTTGCTAGACTCTGAACGCAGCCGTACCGAATAGTAGATTAAAAAAGGGCCAAGAAAAAATAGCAAATCCAAGGCGGCGAAAGAAAGATTCATGAGGAATTGAAAATTCCGGCACCCACCCCGGAGGGGGAGTCGAGGACGCCGGCGCGAAGCAGCCGGTGGGAGAGCCAGGCGTAGGCCCAGGCGAGCGGGAGGCCGAGGAGGAGCGGGTAGTAGAAGGGGTGGTGCACGGCGGCCATAGCGAGGTCCCCCGCGGCGGAGGCCGAGGGGAGGAAAGAGCAGAGCCACTCGGCGAAGGAGCCGAGGTCCGGGCCGAGGAACGCGTTCGCTGCGTAGACGGCGCAGTGGTGCGGCCCGAAGCGGCGGTCCGGGCCGGCGAGCCGAGACAGCACCGCACCGCCCGTCAGAGCGTACAGCAGGTGCGCCCCTGGCCCCGGCATCCCGCTCCTTTGGCCGCTGATAAGCTGGCTCGGTCGCCGCCGCCGGCCGACGGAGGCGTGGCGCGCGGTGGTGTTTGTAAGTTCGTTTGGTGGGAGTAGAGCGGAATCGGGAGACGAGCTTCCCTGTAGGCGACGACGACGGTGGGTTCTTGACTTCTTGGTTTGGTTAGTAGGCAGCTTTTCCTTTCCGTAGTCGTCTCGTCTCACTCTCGCCTTCCGCGGTTTCCTCTTCTGCTGTCACCGCGAGACGCCAATGTAACGGTTAATGGTCACGTGTTTTGACCTGGACTCAACCCTGGTCAGCATGTGTTGCAGGTTCTAGAGGTCTGGTCATAAATAGTCCTAGCTGTAACGTGGACAACTGTTTTTAGCTAAAATATAGCTCTAATACTAATGTGATGACTTCAGCTTTCTATAAGAGCTTATGTATAACCACTTTATGAGCCAAAGCTATACGTACATATTTGACGCTTATGTTTCCAAATTTAATACTTTTGATAACTGCTAACGGCTAAAGTTTCAAAACTTTGTTAATCAAAACGGCACTGCTAGCGCCGACGCACGAGGCTACAGTCTGTTGCGCCTTTTGTTTTGTGCGTCCACGGGAGGGCCTGCGTCGCTCGGAGTCGCCTGCTTTCGCGCCCACACGGGGGCTCGCGCCGCGCACTCACGTGGGGACTGCTTGCGTCCCCTCCCGTTTCCCATGCGAATACATGTATAACACCCGATCTACTTTTGAAACGTACAGATACAATACTTACAACGTACAAAAGAAGATAGATGAAACACTTCAAATATGTGTCTGAAACACTTGCAAAAACACGTGAAAAACACTTGAACACCATTGCAACACATATGCAACATGCAAATAAAACATTTACAACATATGTGTGAAACATATGCAATATCCAGATAAACACACGTGCAACATACGTCAAAAAAACAGATAAAACATTGAGAACAGATTTGCAACATCTATATGAAACACTTGCAACATACCTCTGAAACATCCGGAACATACATTTGCAACACGCGTTTTTAGCGCAACGGGCGGCGCGGCGAACTGACGTAGTGGAGGCGGCCACGAGCAGATGGCGGCACCCGACGCGGTGGAGGCGCCCCGCCGCGGTGAAGTCGGCCACGGCAGGCCTACCTGGGCGCTGTGGCTCGGGGACGGCGTGAGGAAGGCCATGAGGCCGGCGCAACCGAAGAACTTGGCGACGAAGACATGGCGTGGCCCTGTGCTTCGGCGCCATCGATCCACTACAGCGGGCAAAGGTTGGCAACGGCAGCGCGTGGCCAGCAGTACCGGGCTCTCCAAGCGCAGCAGTGAGAGGAGAGGAGAGGAGGGGCGTCGCGGTGGAGAGGAGCAGGGGTGCCAGCAGAGGGAGTTGCCTTTCTTGCCGACTGCCGAGGGAGAGAGCGAAGAGAGAAGAGTCGTGTGACTAAGCGTCGACTTCTGGATGTGAGGGAGCGCCAGGAAGAAGACCAAACGTTGGTTTCTGGACGCGGCACTGCTAGTTCGATGCGTCAGGATAGAAACGGGCCGTCCAAACGCCATAAATAAAGCATTACCGTAATGAAAACGTCAAGTATTTGTGGGAGTCAAAACTCAATTGAGTAGCGTTGGAGGTTTGCTAGACGATCCCAGGTGGCCAGAACATGTCACTAGGGGGTCAAGCAGCCGTCCCAACGAACCACCAAACGGGGCCCTTGGTAACCCATACTCGCTCGGATGCTCCGCATATTCTAGTCATCAAGAAGGGCAAATCATGATTCCAAGGTTCCACCATACGATACGATACTACGATAGAGTGAACACCTTTTAGGAGCAGCTCAAGACAGACCGCACTACTTTTTTTACAGCAAGCAGCGGTGCTTCTTATTACTACAGTTTTCCACTCGCATCACAAGCTCACTTCATTGTCACAGTGGCTCCTCCGTCTAGGAGGCGTCGCAGTCCATGGGCGTGGCAGAGGCGTCGTAGTCCATGGGAACGGCGGCGTCTTCCACCCGCTTCCGGCACCTGCGTGCCGCCTTGATCGCCAGCAGGGTGTCGCAGACGATCCACGGGAAGCTCCAGAACCGCTTCTCGCCGCGGCGGTCGGGGTGGTACGTCACGTGGTACCATGCCGACGCCACCTTCGACGCGTCATCAGCCCTGCACGCCCTGAGCCACCCCCTCACCTCTACGTGCAGGGCGTCGACGGCGGCGATGATGCGGTCCTTCATCTCGAAGTAGCGCTTGTTGTCCCGCCGCAGATACACCAGCTTGTTCCGGATGTTGCCCGTCAGGATCTCGTCCTCGCCCTCCGCGGAGTAGTAGGTCATCAGGGTGCCCAGCTTCTCGGCGTACGCCTCGTACTGCTCCTCAGCGGTGTCCAGGAACTTGTCGAAACCGGCGACCTCAAGGTCCGGGTCATACACGCAGCTCGGTGGGGCCGCAGGCAGGAGTGCTTCTGCGTTCTCCTCGTGGCGCAGGGCTGCACGGTTGAGCTTGCCGAGGACGCCGTTGGAGACGTACATTGGCCTCTCCCATCGTTCCATGAAGTCTGGGAACTCCCGGGGCCTCAGCGCCAGGGGCATCTCGGCTGGAGCTCCTGTCTTGGCAAAGTCGACCGCCATGGAGTGCAGGGCGGCCAGCTGGAGGCACTCAGGGCTGCGAGCTTTCAGCGGATTACGGTCTGCGTGGATCAAGTGGGCGGTGGAGATAACACCGAGGGCATCATTTATCATGTAACTGACGAAGTGCTTCTGAATTTCCTGCAAGCATTTGCATGCAGATGTTCATTTGTAACATTTTGCTCAAGCGAAAATAACCATGCAAGATGGCGAAATATGCAGGCATTTGCTGAATGTTCACGGTGAGCATAATGCACATACCATCTTAATACCATGCTGACTGGACTAAAATGTGGTCTTAACAGCGAGTTCTATATGCTCATTATTGCCCTATCAACACCTGTTTCATGAGGTTAATCCTAAATGCATACACACATTTTAGAAACATGCAAGGTTCCTTAGCTCCGTACATATCATTATCATTAAAATGCCTTAATCCATCGTCTCAGGGGAACGATCGCTTATAACTGATATTTTGCGACTATAGAAATCCGATTAACCGAATAAGAACAACAGCAAATCAACCATAGTATATACATATAATCCAGAAAAATGAGCGAATGAAAAACACTCAGGAGTATGGAGTGTACCTCGAGTGTAACAGCATGGTCCATTATGCGTGGCCTCGTTGCAGTGTAGTCCATAGGTGCATCAACCTTCTCCGGAATCAGTTTGTCATCCCAAGTAATAAAGTAGAGGTCACCATCCAAATCGCCACCCGAGCATTCATTTGGATGAGGCCTAAATAATTTGAAGATTACAAGTAAGGATAGTGCAAGCATTGACAACATTAATCCAAATGGTTAATTGTAAACTACAAAATCAACATAATATGGATAACATTGGTAGCAGAGACAGATACAGTGTCTTAGTTCAGTAGACAGGCTGCTTCACAGCCATGGACAGAGAAATTGAACTCCACATTCTAAAGATAAGTCATTTTCAGCTTCAGAATAGCAAACATACCTTTCCCCTCTCTGAGGAAATACAACACAATCAATAAGACCCCTAGCATCCAATGCAGGGTCATATACAGCTTCAAGTACTCTGACATCACCAGGATGGAGACATGGGTTTTTTGTGATTGCAACTTTTCCAACAATTACAGCTGTTTTGCCATCATCATTGCAAAAGAATGGCTGTTCACTGTACTTCTGCTCCTTGCGATTCTTTGTAATTCTGATGTAAACTTGGCCATAGTCTAATTTGCAGGTTTCATCCAAACAACCAATAAGAACACGGCCTTTCTGGACATGAATCTTACACCTAGTTCTTATGTCGGTCAGCCTATTAGCCCGATGGGCTTTAAGAATCATTAACAGGTAAGGCTCTGAACTTGGTTCATAGCCTTGCAGCAGCATCTCAGCTGCCGTCTTGGTATCAGTACCACCAATTTTCCCTAGGACAGACAAAGCGGCTTCTTTGTTTGTTAGCATTCCATCTGATTCGTGCATGTCATCTTGTTGCATCGATTCAAATACTTCATCCTTTATCCCCAATGTCGAAAGAAGAGAGATAATTTCACGGTTCACGTAACATGGCTGAGACTTGCTCCAATTTGTAATGTTCAGCATAGTGCTCTTCGATTCAAACTTCTTCATACTAGGTCGTAGAGAAAGATTGAAAAAGGAAGTAGGGTCAACAGCGACGACTCCTTTATAGCCCCCATACCTTATTTGAAAAGCAGAGGGAAGGTGAGCAGGGTCTAATCCAATTAACTTGGCAACATTTCTGGCAAATCTAGTAGAAATCTTCCCGATACCATCAGAAAATATATATTTAGTGCCATCAGTTGTGACTTCAATATCTGGAATTACTTCTACATCATATGATGTGACTTCTAATGTTTGCCTGGAGGAGCTAAACAGTTGGCCCATTCTAGCTGCACACTTGGAGACTGAACGGATATCTTCGAAGTGGCCCATCCACCTCCTTATACTCTCAGCAGTCAAAGAATTATTTGAAGCAAACATCCAAACAGAATTACCACGAAGTTGACTTGCTGAAAAGGCCAAAAATTCATATTTTTTTGGGCCAATGCAAAATCCTTCCTTTAGAATGGAGAGAATACGATGATACAGGCCAGTTTTCAAGGGTGTAGAAAAGAAACCTTGTTCAGTTCTAGCTGACAATGCATTGGGAGAAAGCTTGCTCCAATCTTCATCAACAAAAGTAACTCGAGCAAAGTCAGAAGCATACTGAGAGTGGTACTTAACCACGTAATTTGAAACTTCTTCCTCAGGCCCCAAGCAGTATATTTTTGATGGTGTGATGTGAATTCTGTAACACCTCATCAATTTTCCACCCTCCTTCTTGTTGGACAACAAGGCTTTCTTGCTCATACTCATGCTATGAGCCTCATGTCTGATAAATTGCAA